AAACTTAGAAGGCCATTCTAGGAGTCTCTGTTGCTTCTGATTTCTACTTTACCATATCTAGGTGTCGAGTAGTAGGCTCCTGAGACTCTCTTTAAGCCTCCGCAGTTATGTTTTCTACATATGATGAGTTTCTATTGCTTATACAAGTATATGTTGCTTTGTGTGCGAAGTTGTCCCCGTCTCTGTGTTGTAAGATTCACATTTCTGTAGATTCGCCTGACGATGGCCGTGTGAGGGTCCACACACACGTAGCGACGCCTTTTCCAAATAAACGAATGCTGCTATGTTAGTATCGATTTTGTTCCTTCATGTAATTGCTCTTCAGACGGTCACATAAACGGTGCTGTATGTTAGTAAATTATCGAATTCGGCTCAGAATTATCGCGATCTCTGTCAATATAGTGACTGGCTACTGGCTGGACGACCGGGGTGTGATTCCCATTAAGGACAGAGATTTTTCTCTTTTTCACGGCATCCAAGCCGGCTGTAGGACACCCGCAGGGGCCGCGCCATAGCTCAAGTGGTTAGTCGCTGACTTTCCACCGAGGCGGCCTGGGTTCGATCCAAGGTCTGGTCAAGTGGGATTTGTGGTGGACAAAGTGACGCTGGGGCAGGCTTTCTCCGAGTACTTCGGTTTCCCCCGCCAATCTTCATTCCACCAATTGCTCCACAATCACCCTCACCTGTCATCTGGGGCTGGTACAATAGGCCAGAATTGGCCGCAGTGCAAGGGACTTAGTCCCACCCCACTAGCAATAAAAAAATAGTGTCTTAGTACAGTAGAACATGGTCAGATAAACTGACATGAGTTAAGTGATCTATTTGCAGATGTGTCATGTCAGTAAAAAATGACATGCTGTCTAATGGAAAATAAAGCTAAATAGGACAGCTTATCTCTCTCACTTATGCAGTTCCATTGTGATGTTTGATAAAATAATCAGACCTCGTTTTGCCCAACTTCTCACACTTACAACAGTTGCGAAGACCTTTTTTCTGCCGTTTTTCATCAAGAACTTTTTGAATTCCCTGGTGACAAGTTTTGAAATCGCCTCCATACGGTTCCCAGGCGTGGAAATGTACCTCCGTGTCCCATATACACCTTCATGTCGTGGTGCTTAATCACGGGGTCTATTTTTCCTTCACATGACAAATTGTGTATAAAATACGTTTCTCTTTCTACAGTTTTCTTTTGAGGGGTAACCATCAGTCGTCATAGCGACGGGCCACGGACTGCAAACCCGAGTTACATTCCGGTAGGGACAAGAGATTTTTATCTTCTTCAGCGTCCAGATGGGCCCCGCTGCCCATCCAGCCGCCTATCCAATGGGTGCCGAAGGGATTTTTCCCCTGAGGTAAAGCGGCCGAGGTGTGGAGCTTACCACTTGACCCCATCTAGTGCCGAGGTCAAGAATATTGGAGGTATACCTCCATTCCCCCACACGTCTTCTTGACGTGGTGTTTAATTAAGCACAGGGATAGCTTTACCTTTTTCCATCTTTAGTTACAAAACGCTTAAGTGTTCTATGTCCTGTTTATTTTGTTCCTTGGCATTTTTTAGTTCAAATAACGGCTACTGTGTGGCGCCACGGCGGTAAATAATACATAGCTGGGCATTGCTAACATTTATATTATTAAGATTGTCATAATAAATTATAAATAAAATTATTATTATTATTATTATTATTTGTCTGCAAATGGGTTTTTACCCGATGGCAGTGTTAATACAATAAGACACAACACACAAAATAACCCGCCACGCTCGAACAAAACACAGCATACAGAACATTACAACAATAAACATAACTACACAACCGTAAGGGTCACAAGTTACACACATTAAGCACCATTACAATACAGTTACAGTTATAATTACAATACAAACACAATTCCTAATACAATTCCAATATAAATACCATTAATTAACCTAAAGTAGTTGGACTACTAATAATAATACAGTAAAAGTAATGTAAAGCTATCCCTGTAACAGGCCGTGAAGGCCCATAGGGTTGTGAGACGTTGAGGATCCCACATTATCCAGACAATCGGCTCACAGATGGCGGTAAGGTTGTCAGCCTTACGCGCCGGCCGCGCTTTACTCCCCAGGAAAATTATTTAATTAATTCCTGGTACTCATTTCTGTTAGAGGCTGATTCGACCCCAGGGTCATAGTGCGGCCGGAAGGATTAGATCAAGTGAAAAAAATCCAATAACCTCATTGGGACTTGAACCCGCGACCTTCCGGCTTGTAGCATAGTGCCTCAACCAACTACAATTATAATAATAGTAATAATAATAATAATAATAAGGAAATTGTGATAATAGTAAAAAAGAATAACATTCTCTACACTAATACAGTATCTACATAGACTGACGCACTGACATTTCCCCCTCACCATACCTCAGTTCACCTCATTTATCACTTTTTTAACCCTTTTTCTAAAATTACTTGGTTTACAGGAGAGAGTCTCTAAAGAATCTGCAGGCAGGTGGTTCCAAAGCTGGATGGTCCTATTTACAAAGGGATATTTTGCGATATCTGTCCGTTGCTTTCTGCTCAGATAGCATGGCTTTTGCCATCTCACTTTTAGCCTTCCGTGTACACTTTGAAGAGAGCAAATGTGCTAGCTACCTTCCTGCGCTGTGAATTACTTTCAGATATGTTTCCACGTCAGTAGGGTTCTTTTTATTTGTAATGCTAGTGGGTGGGACTAAGTCCCTTGTACTCCGGCCACTTCTGGCCTATTGTACCAGCCCCAGATCATAGGTGAGGGTGATTGTGAAGCAATTGGTGGAATAAAGATTTGCAGGGGAAACCGAAGTACTCGGAGAAAGTCTGACCCAGCGCCATTTTGTCCACCATAAATCCCACTTGACCAGACCCGGGATCGAACCCGGGCCGCCGCGTTGGGAAGCCAGCGACTAGCCGCTTGAGGTATGGCGCGGCCCCTAGTAGGGTTCTTATTTTAATGTTATGTGTGTGTAGAATTTGATCTCTGAGAAATATGATACATGTTGCTTCTAAGCTCAATTAGCTCCTTCCTGAAGATCAGATTTAAAGTGCAAAGAGCAGTACAGGTTTGTAAACAAAAAAAAAATGTGCAGGTGTAACTACTCTCTCTTATCTGTGAAAGTTACACGTCCATCAGTCAAGGCAAGTAATGGTAAAGTTTATCCTTGTGTTTATTCACCACACCGTGAATATACGAGCTGGAATAGCTCAATCAGTGTAGCGACGGGCTACGGGCTGGACGGTCGTGGTTGATTTCCGGCAGGGGAAAAAGGTGTTTCTCTTCTCCAGAGTGTCGAGACCAGCGACTCTGGGATCCACCCAGTATCCTATCAAACCGGTGACTATTTCCCCGGTGCTAAAACGGCAGGGGTATAAAGGTGACCACTCACCTCCATCTAATGCCGAGGTCAAGAATGCTGGCGCTGTACACCACTCCCCTATACGTCTTCATGGCTTTGTGCTTATTTAATTAAGCACAGGGGCAATTATATCTTTACCTTTACATCACAGTACATTGCTGTGTGCTCATCACTCTTGTGGTAGTGACCGTGGAGGTAACCAGTTTGCACTCCGATTGTCACACTTTATGTCCTTAAGATCTATCTTCATAATATCTTCCAGTTTATTCTTTGGCCTTCTAAATGGCCGCTTCCCCATCAGAATACTTTCTGCAGTCCTTTTCTCCCTTATCCTAACCACATTCCTAGATCATTATAGACCCCTATATTGCAGTTTGCTAACAGTTGTACATGACCTTTTGTGGCATAATTCACGAAGCTCCTGTGTATACGCTCACGTACTTGTGCCTGATCTTTCCCATGCCTGAACTTTCCCAAGTCCAATTACCTTTTTCTTTTCCATCTTTTAGTTTCTTGTGGTGGGGTGAGACTGAGTTCACTTGGCACTAAATGGCCCATAGTACCAACCCCAGATGATAGATAGATGATGATGAATGTGGAGCAGTCTGTGGAAAAGAGAATTGGCAGGGGAAACCGAAGTACTCGGAGGCAACCTGTCGCAGCGCCACTTTATCCACCACAAATCCCAAATAACTTGACCCAGAATCGTACCCTGACCGCCGCGGTGTGTAACCGGCGACTAACCGCTGAGCTATGGTGCGGCCGTTAAGTCCAATTACTTAGGTGAACATCTCATTTTCATAAGCTTGTAGCTTACGACCTTCCTTCAAAGAGGGACAACATTCGACACCCAAACAAGACAGATGGTAAAATTTAATGTTGTATACTTCTCAGTCTTCAGCGTGCTGGGTAGCAGACGGGATGGTAACAATTTTCAAATTATAATTCGGCAAGCCTAGCAGTCCGAAAAGGAACCGAACGTAGCAGTCGATAAGATGAACTACTTTGTGTTCGGCACTCCCCGGCCAGGAAAATCGATATTCTGACTGAGACGTTTATGGTTTTCCTGGGTCCCTACAGGAAAATTATGGGCGAATGCTTGAAATTATGGCATGACAGCTTTCTTTCACATATTTTCCAGTTCGATATTCATAAATGATCCTGCGTTTGACACCACACCGCCTGAGTTACTGACAGTAACCTTAAATTTCTTTTTTAAATTCGCATAGTGGGGTATGGAGTTAAACTGGGTCCACTCGGCACGGCGGCTACTGATTGGCCTATTGTACCTGCCCGGGTGATTATGAGGATGGACAATTTGGTGAAACGAAGATTGGCAGGGGAAACCTAAGTAGTCGGAGAAAACCAGCCCCAGCGCCACTTTGTCCACCACAAATCCCACTTGACCCGACACGGGATCGAACCCGGGCTGCCGCGGTGGGAAGCCAGCGACTAACCGCTTGAGCTATGGTGCGGCCTGGCAGTGACCTTAAATAAGCAGCAACAGTACAAGAAGTTCTTCAGATTTTGCTGTCGTGTTTTCCCCCCCGAGAGCTGCCTGCCCTTACCATTTATCTTCCTTAAGCAGACATGCGTAAAACCGTCGGTTCTAATGCCAAGTCTTTCTGCAGGAGATTGGCCTGAGGAGCCTGACCGCTGTCCTCCGCGGATCCGTCCGTTTCGATAAGAACCCGGAGCTTTGTTATGTGGACACTGTGGACTGGAGATCGATTCTTCGCAACGGAGAACACTTCGCAGCCAGCAACAAGGAGGTTCCGTTGTGTCCCAGCTGTCCTGCCAGTTGCGAGAGTGCCAACTGCTGGGGTCCCGGCGTTTGCCACAGTCTGAGGAAGAATGAGACCAACTGCCACCGGCTGTGTCTTGGGGGATGTACGGGGCTGGGGTCAGACCAATGCTCTGCCTGCACCAGCGTGGTCGACGAGCACGGGGTTTGTGTCGACAGCTGTCCGACTGACAGGTAAAGGTGAAGGAAGAAGGACTGTAGATGTTATTTCTAGAGACTCTTGTTCTTATTCCAAGAAATATTTTAGTATGTCGTATGTTATTTCTGCCGCTCACGGAGGCATGAATTGTCTTCGGCCGCTTAAACACTAGGGTCATGGTTTCTAATCCCAATCGAGGCATAGATGTCTGCCTGCGTTTATTCTCTGTTTGTGTTCAGCTATGTAGGCAGCGGCCTCGCGACGGGCTGATCCCCAGTCTAATGTGTCCTACCGACTGTGTAAAATTAAGAAATTGAAGTGAAATGAAGCGTTTCACAGGTTTCCTGTGCTTCAGAGGGAGCAACAGGAAATGTGAATGAATGTTATATCCAGACATTTCTATTTCTATTCTAAAGAAAAATTTAGAACTACGTATTGTCACGTGTATGGGTGACCAAAGACAGGGTTCTGATTGGTAACTGGATTTATTAAGAACCTAAATATCGTAACTAAAAATAATTGTTACACTATTGCTGCTTTACATAATTTATAATCACTCCACACTAATTCCTTCAGTCTCTCTGCACTGGTCTCCATTTATTTACAACACAGGAACTATAAAGCCGAGGGCACACCAAGGAAACTGGCAACCGCAACGCAACCGCAATTTCCTAGAAATGTCGCCGATTTCAAGCAAGTAACTGGTTTCCAAATTAACAGGCGGAGGAAAATTATGTTTGATTAGTTGCTCGCATTATCTTACGTGGGTATGTTCGTCCTACGTAATTTATGATTGTATTTTTTTAATTGTGTTCACTTACCTTCTGCAATGGAAGATGATAATACTGTTCCTGTCTTAATATTGTGGTAGTTGAGACGGCGTGAGAAGAGAGAACGACGACCATAAGGAAAATGTTTTGATGTTAATTAATTTGTTTTAATTAATGTCAATTTATTTTAATCAGGAAATAACACGTTCACACGCGATGCGAAATTTTGACATACAGTGCAACAATTTTAGCAAGACAGAAGACGCCTGATGATGGCCGTATGCAGCCGAACCATGTAATGTGTAAGAAGGGTGACTGTACAATAAGTCGTATTTAAGACGTAAATGTATGTGAAATAACTGCTATATTAATGCAACGGGATGCTTAAATACAATATTAAGAAAAGAAAACATTTGGTGCATCCGTTCTTCTGTGATAATTTAAACTGAAGCGGTTATATTGTTTCGAAAGGACTTAACCTGGATCCAGACTCCTTCGTCTCATGAGAAATTCTTTCCCAAGCCAAATCTGTTTTGTCCCTCTTAGCATAGTCTTGGTGGCGTTTGTCATATATACCCGGCTCTTGCTGAATTAACTGCGCAAAATCAAAATTAGCAGCTGCGTCAACCTTTCGTGCCATTTAACAAACAAATGAATCGCTGATGCGCGTTACAGAACAGCTGATGCTAGGAAACCATGCGGAAAGGCAATTGTGAAAAGACTAGCATGCTCCAGTTGAGTTTCTGAGTCTCTCCGCGAGTTGCGTTGCCGTTTCCTCAATTTTCGCTGCTCCATTCAGTAACATGTGTTCAACTCAGGCTAATAACAATTCTCGGAAATTGCGGTTGCCAGTTTCCTTGGTGTGCCCTCGGCCTAACAGCCTCACTGAATTATACACTCCAAATATGACACATAAATAAAGTTTTCTAATCACACGTTAAGTATTCACAGGCCGACTTCTAATTCTTCTTGAACTACGAAATTTCCGGTGCTATCTCCTACCGGTAGAATACTACCCAATACAATGGAAAATATCACAAATAATTACGCTGCCCAAACCTGGGAAAAAACACGAAAGAAGTAACATCCTACAGACCAATAAGTCTGATACTGGTACTATTCAAGGTACTAGAAAAACTACTACTGAAAAGAATAAAACCAGTGATAGAAGATCAAAACATAATTCCCAAACAGCAATTCGGATTTATAAACAAGCACGCAACTACGGAACAAGTCCATAGACTAGTCAACCAAATAAACAGAGATCTCGAAACAAAACGTTACTGCACAGCGGTGTTCCTTGACATAGAACAGGCCTTTGACAAGGTCTGGCACGCAGGACTATGTTACAAAATGAAACAGAAACTTCCGCATCAAATGTACGCAATTCTGAGATCCTATCTTACACACAGATACTACTTTGTAAAGCAACAGGAGGCATTAACAAACCTATACCCAATATCATCTGGCGTACCCCAAGGTAGCGTTTTAGGACCAGTGCTATACTTGATCTACACATCAGATCTACCA